CCCTGCTTCGGGAACCGATTTTTCACTAGACGACATTTTTAAAACAGCTGATCGGTGGCTTCAAAATGGCTGGCCACTGTGTAAAATGGCTCTCCGCTGTGTTTTTGGACGGATTCCTTACTTTACAGGCACCGAAAATGGCTGCCCCTATGGAGGATCTTCGCTGGACTGTGAGTTATTCAGCCCATTGGAACGCATTGAACGGGTTTTCAACGCATTTCAATGGGATTTTTTATTTCGCTTAACGAGGATTTCGCTCTACAGCGATTTCGCTGGAACGGATTATCTTTGTTAAGTGAGGCACCACTGTATAACTATAACATAGTTATAGCAGTTCAACACCATTTAAACTGTCATAGCTTCACCCTACAATATCCTAAAAATTACAGTTTAGCAAGAAAAACAGAGTTATCTACTACAAAGCACTAGTGTGTTCTTCTTACTTTCAGGAGGGAGTCCTTAATGCCTCTCCAACTACAACTCCCAGGATTCCACAGGCAAAGCCACAGAACTTCAAGTAATACTGGGCAACTGCTGCAACTCTATAGTGTGTAAAGTGCAGCTTTCACAAGATTTGCCTTCATATAGGCTTTTCAGACTACTGCATGGAAAAGTCACCTAGAAGTATTGTTTATGAGCAGATGTTCTACACATCTGGTCAGTGGGGATTTGATTCTCCAAGTTCCAACTTATTTCAGTTTGACACCCATGGATTGCTCTATTTAAAAAAAACCTAACTGAAGTCATATCAAGCATCTTGATTACTGCTACAATTTCTGGGACTGGGCAATTTCAGATTCTTCTGCTCTCCCATTTACCTGTTTTATTTAAAGTAGCTACCAGATGGTCTCAATTTCCCTATTAAATCACATTACAGATTTGAATGATGCAAGACACATATGTACACAAAAGACTGAATCCAAACACAGAAGCAATTCATTTAGTCAGAAAACGAACCCAGACAGATGTTACACAACACCACCGCACTTCAGGGAGGAACAGCAAACAGCTCTTCTTTTACACTTGGGGTCTAACAGCACATCAGATTTTGGGTCTACAGGGGATTTTCATGCAGAACAAGTTGGCTAGTGAGCCTGCAAAAGCCTTCTGGATTTCTTTTCTTTTATTAGATTTGTTTGAGTTGGACATGTTTTACTACACTTATTCCTTGTTCTACAAGCAGTTCTGGCACAGTGCTTACTTGTCCCTGATCTCTGATTGTACTATATCTATAGTTTAGATCAGCACTTTTCAAACCCTGCTCTCAGAAGCCACGGGATTCTTCAGAAGGTGTTCACAGCTCTGATGATAATCCTGAGCTTGCTTGACAGAATTCTTGCCATTTTATCAGGGTCTAGACTCCATTTAGTACATCTGTATAGTTTCCAGACATCATTTCTCTCTGTTATCCATTATCTGTTACTTGAATAATCCCTGAACCCCAGTATTACTAGCATTCAATAGCTAATACGCTTTGCTACCAGGCAGCATGGCATCAAATAGCAATTCTGTTTTTTCTAGTTATTGAAGTTATATTTAATGGGAAGTAGAGACCTCCCTGACTGGTTTTGCACAATGCTTTCCTGATTGCTTTCATCCAAACCCTGCCTCTGGCACTCTTGTAAGACACCAATTGGTTAACTTTCTTAGGAGTAATGGGATGAACATCTTTTGTGTAAGGAAGAAATAAATGATATACTCTGCTCATTCTTCCTGATAGTGCATGAAAAAAAAGTCTTAAATATAACAGTTCACAAGTGCTCACCCTCCCCCTGTATGTTAACTGTATTTAGTCCCTGGATTTCAGCCTAGTTTTTAAGAAAAGCAAATAATCCAGTATGTAGCGATCTTGCATGCTTTGAATGGGAAATGCTCTGATTTCTTATTTTTATTCCTTTAACGAATGTAGCCATAGGATTAAACTCTCAGTGCCTATCTATACTTATATGCACAGTTTTGCTGTTCTAATAATATTGGGGATAGTAACTAGAAGAATTAGTTTTTTGTTAGATTAAGAAGAGATCCAGCTAAGGATGCCGGTCTAGAGTGCAGATTAAAAATCTCCATGCAGCAACAGTCCCCTTCAAAAGGTATTTTCAATGACATTTTAAAAAAATGTAACAATATTATAAGACGCGCCTTGATTACAAATTTCTACTACTAGCTGTCCTCTGAAATGCGCAGTCACTGAATAATGTCAGGTGTTTTTAACCCCTAGTGTACACTACAGACTCAGGCAGACTCACAGAACCATAGAAAATTGGAGTTCAATGTCATCAAGTCCAACCTCCTGTTCAATGGCAGAATCCAAATCAAAGAATCTCTGACAGATGGGTGCCCAATTTTTCCTTCAACATCTCTAGTGTTGGAGCACTCACCACCTCCTGAGGTAACTGGTTCCATTGCCATACTGCTTTAATAGGTACGACATTTTTCCTGATATTCAACTGAAATCTGGCTCCCTGTAACTTGAACCCATTGCTATGTGTCCTGCCCTCTATGATGATCAGGAACAGATCCTGCCCTTCCTCTGTATGACAGCCTTTCAGTATTTGAACAGTGATATATCCCTCCTCAGTCTTCTTTTCTCAAAACTAAACATGCCCATTTCTTTCAGCCTTTTTTCGTTGGGCTTGGTTTCCAGTCCCCTCATCATCCTTGTTCCTCTCCTCTGAACTTGTTCCAGTTTGCTGGCTTCCTTCATAAAGTGCAGTGTCCAGTACTAGACATAACTAGTGTCGTATAGAGAAGAATTAATACTTCAGAGGATTTGGAGACTATACCTCTGTTAATGCATCCTAAAATACCATTTGCCTTTTCTGAAGCTACATCACACTGTTGGCTCATATTCAGTTTGTAATCTACAACAATTCCAACATCCTTCTAAAAAGTATCCCCCACCTTGTAACTGTGCATTTGAGGGTTTTTTTCTATAGATGTAGAACTTTGCATTCATCCCTGTTAAAATTCATTCTGTTGTTTCCAGCCCAGTGCTCACTCCTATCAAGATCTTTCTGAATGTTGCTTCTGTCTTCCAGGGCAAAGCAACATAAGGTACAGCTGGCTTAGCCTATGTTTGTTTTAACTATGTACCTAAGGATGTATCTACACCACACAGTTATAATGCTTTGGCTGTGTTAAGTTGTGCTAAGCTGTGCTAAGTTGCTACTAGAGTAGGCCCACTGAATCTGTGACATTTTTGGAGGAGTTAATTCACCAAGGTAGAAATGTTTGCTGCAGGTTATAGCAAATTTATAGTTTCTGCCTTGGTGAGTTAGCTCCTTCATATGTTCCACTGATTTGGTGCCCTTCCTTTGCGGCTGGCCAGAGCAAGGGAGCCCTTTTTTCTCTGTGGGGCATGCCTGTCAAGCAACCAGTAGGATGTCAGTAGCAGCCAAAGAGCAAGTTGGCAGCAGCAGCTCCAGGTTTCCCCACCTATCAATGACCCCTGTCACTGCCACTATTGATGCCAACATGCTCCCTGGCTGTCACCACCATCATTCAGATGCCTGCTGGACAACCAAGCCTCATAGAGAAGGAAGAGTTATCTTGCCCCAGCAGATCACCAAGGAAGCCATACTGCAGATTAAAACACGACATATTGGGTACTGATTTAAACTGCAGCAGGGCTTGTGTCACATGAAACAATTTTTATTGGTAATGTAGTTTCAACATGAATCCCCACTGATTTAATGAGTGACTCTAGTTGTAGTTCCCTATTCCAGGAACAGCCATTGATTCTACTATGGAATGCTAGGATGGGTTTGATGGGGACATAACATTCTGTGCTCTAGTGTGATCCCCTGAACCACAGCAGAGGATTCTAAATAGCTCTTAGATCTTAGCATTCCAGAGGATGGAGCCATTGCAATTAAAGTGGAAACAAACCACTGTAATTGTGTAGAAGATGTACACTCTGGGCTTATGCCCACTGTGGTATTGCCCTTGGTTATTGTGGGGCTTTTCTGCATCATATTTTTTAATTGTAGATTTAAGCATAGCAGCCAGGCACTGGCATCTACACATTGGTACTGGATGCACCGGGTCATACTGCCTGCACGTGCACTTCCACAGTTGTTTCCTAGGAGCAAACTTCCAAGTTCAACACAGATTGTCATTTTCTTTTGACTGTCTTCTCTTCTCTCTCTCTATTTACATTACTCTGTCTTTCCTTCCCAACTTGTTTAACACCCACCATTCACAAACCCTGTTTTCAATGCAATGCTTTCTAATTTTAAATCATTTTCATTTTGCATTTTGCCATATAGTGTGAAAACGATAAAGCAGGAACAGCTGGTGCCTTCTTTTCTGCCCTCTCCTCACCAACTTCACTCTCTCCTCCCTCTCTTCTTAGCTTGCTTTACCTGCTCACAGTGCTCAAGCTTTCACATTTTCCCTGCAGTGCTTTCTAGAATCTCCCCCCCCCCATTTTAAACTCTTGTGCTGCAGTGCACAAGTGATAGAGTGGTCAATATGACCAGATAGACGGGGTATAAATAAATAAATGAATGAATAAATAAATAAATAAACAAACAAACAAACAAACAGCATTAAAAATGAAAAAGCTCTAGAGGGCAGTGCTTAATATTTTTTCTGTCCTCTCCACAACTATTTTAATCTCCCTTCCCTTCTTGTTTTTCCAGCCCACCATTTTCTCTTAAACACTTCTCAATTTTATTTTAATTTTTAGTCTTCACTTTTGGACTATGGTGCAAATTTTTAAATTTTGATTATTTGCTGTGCTGTCTCCTTTTTATTTTAATTGTTTACTACTATACATATATTTTGAGGTTGTCATGTGCCTTGGGTTCTACTCCATACTGGAAAGGTGGGTACAGTTCTTTACAGTTGATCATCCAATAAACCAGCCAACCAGCCAACCAGCCAACCAGCCAACCAACCAACCAACCATTTCCTCACATTTAAAAGCTCCTAACAAAGCATCCATGTATCATACTTATGGACTAAGGAAGGTAACAAGGCACTCATTGTAGCCACACCTGCTTTAGTTGTCACTTTCAACAGATACCCTTCCAAGTCGATGTGGAAGTGCAGTGTTTCGTATGGTAGGGATATCCGTGTCCCATTCAGCTTTACAGTGAGGTGCTGATGTAGGCTGATGGTGCTACTGCCTAGCAGAAGGTCTACAGATTTTGTCCAGGAAAAAGAGCGAGTTCGCCGAGCATCATTCTTCACCAGCACCTGGAAGGGTGAGGTAGGGGAGGAGCAGTCTTTTGTCAAAACATACTGACATGTTCCCTGAAAGTTAAATGTCCGTCCATCAAAAGTGTTGTAGTGAGGGTCTCCAAATACAGTGCAAACTCCAGGCTCTGTGAATGAGTGAGAAACAAAAACACCATCAAGACCAAATTTTATATTTTGAACGGTTACATGAATATAAGGGTTTTTCAAGCATTTATGGTCATTTTATACATTATGCATTTTCAGCATATCCCTAAAAATACACTGTGTGGTAAGACAAGCGCAGATTTGGAAACTCGGAGGTACACTTAGAGAAGCAGGGCTTGGTGCCATTCCCTTTTGAGATTAAACCAAAAAGGACCTGATTCTGCTGCCATGGAATAAATTAATGGACCTTAGCTGGTCTGTCAAAACACAGCTGTCATGGTATGGTACAGTACCATACACTAGAGGGGATACTCTGGCAGGCTACCTGGGAAAGTAGAATCTATGAGCTGCATGCTGCAGGTTTAACCTGGATGCACATTTACTTTAAGAGTAAGCCCTGCTGAGCTATTTGGAATTTATTTCAAAGAGTCAAGCACTGAAATGGACTTTTAGAAAACTAAGTAAAGAGTTTCTTTTTGTCTTTCCTATCCCCTTTCCACCTGGAAATTAAATTTTCCACAATGTGTTGAAAACTGCTTTTGAAACACCAATCTTGAGCGATTTACTATGGAAGAACTGCCTTCCTTTTGCCCCTTAGTCAAAGAAAACAGAGGAAAACTATTTTTGGTTAAAACACCAACTTGTGCAAATTAACTTGACAGTAAATCCCAGTCAACATAGATTTACTTCAAAGCTAACATGTTTTCATGTTATCTAATAACCACATATCACAATGTAAAAAGTGGAAAGGACCTATAGACATAATTGACCATCTTGCAAGTGTGAATCTCTAAAATTCAAGATCAACACAATCTGTACAAAAAGCATCATGGAAAAGGTTGCCCTTGACAAATTGTCCAGTCGTGTCTGACTCTAGAGGGCAGTGCTCATCCCCATTTCCAAGCCATAAAGCCAGCAATTGTCTGTAGACAGTTTCCGTGGTCATTTTATTTCATGTGGTCAGCGCGACTAGACATGGAACGCTGTTACCTTCCCATTTTGGTGATATCTATTTATCTACATGCTTTCGGACAGCTAGATTGGCAGGAGCTGCGACAAACGATGGTAGCTCACTCCGTCGCATGGATTCGAACTGCTGATCTTTCGACCTTGCAGCCCAGAGGCTTTGTGATTTAACCCGCAGCGCCACCAAGTCCCCTATCATGGAAAAGAAGAGCTAACATACCCTAATGGGCAAGTTAAATCCAAAGCATCCAGATATGTCAAATTCCTGAGGCAGGGCTTATATAGTTAATTTACAGCAGCCAAGGAAAATATTATATAAGCCGTAAGTAAGAAGGATTTGGATGTTTTCTAAGTGAAAATATGACATTAAAAAACCAGGAGGAAGAGTAAATTGTTCTCACATACATAACTCAAAAGGCTTGGTTTTTAAAAAGCCAGAAATCAAACCCAAGACATAGCTAGCCAAAATGAGAATTAGGGTTGAACATGAACACAAGCAGCTGATTCTTAAATCAAATCAGGACAAGCTTTAATTTGAAACTATATAAAATGCAAAATGGAATTGACTTAAACTTGCCATTGTAAAGAACGGGGAAACAACATGCTCTTATAAACACTGAACAACATTAATCTATATTCCTATTTATTTTTTTGCAGTATCAGAGTGTATATACTAAGAATAGCTTCACACATCATACACATATCAGTCTGAATACACAAGCATTTAGAGACAGCTATCATGTATTTAAAGTACTTGTACATTAGATCTTTAAATTCTCACGTAGACTAGCCTAGATTGGTGATTGGACCAGAATCCCTGTATGCATGCACATCCCTATTTAACAATGTATTAATGATCTGTATGGTTCACAACTATTTAATACCTTACATGTTGGTATTTCCAATATCTCAGATTAGAAACAAGGTGACTCAACAACAGGGCTTCTACAGTGGGATGCAACCCATCATTCTGGAAATTCATTTTTACTTTGGCACACTCTCTTATTAGCACTCAATCAAACCTGGCCTGTGATAATGCAATGGGCAGAAGAGTATCTATCATTTTCACAGTCCTAAATTGCACTGGGGAAGGCAGCTATTGTGTTCCTAGTCCTTCTGATGTCATTATAAAAGGCTCATATTGATTTCAGTTGGCATCAACACAAGGATACAAGGTGGACAATTTTATTTGCCTCAGATGAGTCTCTTTCCACACCTGCACATCTACCCCTAATGAAACCACTTAGAACCAATTACTATATTATTGTTGATTCATACAACACTTTCTGGTAAAAACACATTGCTGCTGAATTCCCACTTTTAAGGGTTCTTATTTATATAATACAGAAGAGAACTTTATACAGCAATTGAGCGTAACTGTTTTTAAGATAACCAAGATTACAAAGCACTAAATTTAAAACACAGTGGCTGAATCCTGTTGGCTAACTATCTAGATGACGTCATCAGCCTGTGATGTTACTCTTTAATTTAACTGAACGATTCCTATTGTTCCAAGACTCCATAGGGGTTTTTTTGTTATTTACTTAGAGAAGTCTTTAGGAACCTTGGTATGGATGGAGGAACTTTTAATTTTGGAAAACTGCTGCCAGGTTGCTGGCAGTGGAATTGGGACTGCTGGTGGTGACCATACAGCAATTTTCTGACATTAAAGGCTTTCTCCCTCCCCCATCTTGTGGATCCTAAAGGCATCCCAAGGCCAAAAAGGAATCCCTAGGGAGCATTGGAATCTGGGGGTCGGGGTGGATAGGAACAGTCAATTAAATTAAAAAGTAATGTCATTGGCTGATCTCATCATTGCTATTTACACTCATATAGTGGTGCCAAATGGATTTTAGTGCTTAGTAATGCAGAAAGTGCAACTCCATCCTCCTGGTTTAATCTCACTGTCTTTGAATTTATAAATAATTTCCCCACAGCACAATAATGCTACAAGTATATGGAAAATCATCCAGTAAAGTTTCTTTCATTGTCTGGCCAGTATTCTGCAACTTTAATCTAAGGCTACTTAATGGATTAGCTGTGCTGGGAAAGATAGCAGGATGAATATTTTTTAAAAAGTATTCATCTGTTACAACTCAGGCAACATCCATCATAGCCAATTTCCAGGATGGCATCCAAGTAATTCTTATTTAAATGTTTATAGGTTGTTTCTTCTTTAAACCTTCTCTTCCATGCATCTTCTGTATTCCAGTAGATTTCTCAGACACCATACTGTGTTTTCACCATGTTTTAAAGTGTACCTCCATGCTACTTTATAAATCACTCTTGGAGAGATTTAGCCCTTGCTTTTTTGGAGAAAGGAGATTATTGCCCTTTCCAATAATATACATTCACACCTTTGCAAATGAACCTGGGTCTTATTCATTTCCCCAGGAATATTTTGAAACATCAAATCCCAATCCAAGAAGACAGAATTATTGACTCCTAACTCCAGACTATTTCTTCAGTGTCTGGGCTGGTTGTCAAAGATTGTCTTTTTTGAGAAAGGAAAGTACTTGTTAACCATCTGGCAATGGTGGCTATGCAACTGAGGGACTGGTGCTGACAAGTGACTTGGTAGGCTAGGCATAAAGCCTCTGGCATGATTAACAACCTGGGCTGGGAGCAACCGCACAAGAAAACATCTCAGTCAGAAAATGTTCAGAAACGCATTTTTGTCACTTGATGATTGAAATATCAAGTAGCAACTTGTATATGTGAATGGGCCATGGCAAATCAGACACTGCAACAATTTTTGTATATCTTCACACAGGATGAAACACAACTACTTCCCAATGAAGTCAGCTGACACCTTCAGCTGCAATAAACTGACTGAGGGCCAAACTTTGTGATTTATTCACATGCATTAACTTGCCCTCCAAAGCACGATCATTTAGAACTCTGGCTCATGAAATCTAGAGGCTCCTCCATCCACAATGATCCAGTTTTCCACTCACCTTTTCTAACTGCTCATGCACAGTAATGTCACAAGAGGTACAAAATTCTTGTGTGCCTCACCAAGGATAAGAAAAACACATTGCTCATTTGATACACATAGGCCAAAACCCTCTTGTGACATTACTCCAAGGGTAATGCAAATTGTGTAATTAGTGGGCACAAACTGCCTCCAGTTAAGGCATCAATGTAGACATTATCTACTGCTTACTGAGTTGCATAACTGAACTTGCAATAATATCTGTGGTGATTTCTCAATTTGAGACAATTTCCCTCCAAAAGTTACAGTATCTGCACTATAGCACCATAACTAGGCAAGATGATTTTGGCTATTTCTTTAAAGGTTTTTAAGTGGCCATCTAATTCTACTTTTTGCAGGGCTGGTTTTTAAGAACAGAAAAGAGGGTCCCAGGCTCACCTGGGGATCCCCAGTTGTTTCTGGAGTGGCAGTCCTGAGGCTGATGGTGGGGCATGGAGGGGGCTGGAGCCACCATGGCAGCTCCCAAGCAGCTGTTCTGGGACACTGGGAGTGCCAGAGGATGCAATGGATGGCCCCCTTCCCTGCTTGCTTCCCATTGGATAACAAGGAAGGGATTCTCCCAGCCAGCTTTCACTGGCAGCAGGAAAATTTCAACTTGGAACTGCAAGCATGTGGGCTGGAAAGCAGTGAGCTTCAATCCGGTCCACCTGCCTGACATAAAAACAGAGTGAGGAGACAGCTCTGTCCAGTTCGCATCTTGCCGGCTTTGTGAGCAAAGAGAACGACAACTGCAACAGTGGTGATGGTGGCGGCGGCATGTGGAGCACATCATGCCACAGAGGGCTCCAGTGACATGCCAAGGTGTTGAACAGCATGGCAGTAGCAAATTCAAGGTGGGTGAGACAAAGGGATCTGGAGATAGCTGGGACCAATGTGGGCCAGCTTGCCCCGAAATAGACTGAGCCCATAGAGGGAGAGACTGAGGCACCTGGGGAGCAGCTGGGACCCCTTGCGAGCCAGCTCTGCCCCTAAACTGAATCAAACCCACAGACAGTAAGATTAATCAGCTGGGACCCACAT